CTCAAAATTAGACTCCTCGGAAAGTTGTGCTGCTCAGGGCAATATTATTCTTGTAAAGACTAGTGCTGCTGTACTGATGTGTGTTTTATGTCAGATGATGATGTGCAGTAAATGGCATCATGCAGGCATCGGCTTCAAATGTTTAGAAAGCGAGTCCGAAAATGAGCTAATATCTATAAGTACTGGGCCTTCCTGGCCTGATATTTCATTTTTGCGCTTATTATTGTTATAATTTCATAAATCTTGATCTTCAAATTTTCTAAAATTATTGGGATTTACTTTTTTTTAGATTGGCAGTCAGTTTTGCACAAAATACAAAGATTAACAGTGCGTTTAAAAACTTAACTACTGCGTACCAAAATAATCAAAATAAGCATGATGATTCCTATAAGGACTCGATGTTAGCAGTGTTACTAGAATGCACCCACACACTGAGCGTAATTACGCTAGACAGATAGCGATTATAGAATACAGAGAAAATATAAATTAACATTATTTTATTTCTAAACATATTCCAGGATAGTATTCAGCGTTGATGCGACCGTGCAGCAGGAGACGTTAAAACAAGTGAAAACGAGTATTCTGGAAGGAAGCTCCAAATGGAGTGCGAAAATTGCTCTCACTGGTAAAAAGCCTCTAATTTCCTAGCTGTCACTTTCCAGGGTTGAAAATTGCATCCTAGTTAGAATTTTTAAAACTGCGTATAAATTTCGAAACTGTTTTGCTTGCTGAGCAGACTAGCCGGTGCGATAATGCGTTTGGTGGCGGAACTGTTCATTGTTACGTCATATAACAGATATATGCATGCAGAAGTGCATGGAGTATTTACCAGTAGAAATATTAATTGTGACATATATAAATCACGTTTCTGATGAGGGTATTTAATCAAGAGGAACGAGGTGGAGGAATGTGAAGAGTGCGATTTTTTAATTAATAGAAATAATCCTTTCTTAAATATATGAATGCTCGGTGAGTTTGTGCAGAACGGTTGAAGCAGTTCAAAGAGTTTGAATAAATAGCAACGCGCACCAGACTAGCCGGTGCGATAATGCGTTTTGTGCAGTTCAGCCGATCGAACGATGCCTATATTAATGATTTTCACTGCGTTGTATTTTAGTCTGTGCAAAAACAGTTGAAACATTGAAAAATGTGTAGAATCATGCGCATGCGCATGAAGCTGAATTCGAAACATTGAGGGGTGAACATCTTTCTGTGATTCCCGAATTAACAATTTACCCGCCAAAATTTTCACGAGGCCCTGATGGTAGCCGAGAGCGCGGGAACGCTGAATTTGAATAGGTGAGGTTGAGCATGGACAGGGGGTCATTACTCTAAAATTTCAGTTTCCTAGACCCCGTGGTTCCCGAGATACTGATTTTACCCGAAGAACTTTTACGGGGCCGTACGTATTACTCGCGGGTACGAAAACGCTGAATTTAAATTTGCCGCGTCACCCGTTGGCGGAGAACACTGTACTAAAATCCCAGCTGCCTAGCTTTTGTGGTTCCTGAGTTGAAAGTGCGGGACAAAATGTGGGACACACACACAGGCAACCCCGTGACAATATGCGTTTTATACTGCTGTTACACAGCACAAAACGCATAAAAAGAACAGCATGAGAAAAAAATATAAACTTAGTACAAGTATATTTGACTTGCAAAATTTGGAAAAAGGAATGTTAACTTGCAGTGATATGTGCTCAAGGCCTGATAGCAAAAGACAAAACGGGTAAAAGTGATCCATATGTGACGGCGCAGGTCGGCAAGGTGAAAAAGCGGACGCGCACAATACATCAGGAATTAAATCCGGTCTGGAATGAAAAGTTTTTTTTGTAAGTTTTTTGTCTCAGAAAATTAACGTATTGTTTATCTACCTAATTCGACGTGGATGCAAAGCAGCTGAAGTCTTGTTTGATTGTTTTTGAAATATTTGAATTAAAATAGCGGAGGAAATGGAACACCAGAAGGCTAAAACTTATTAATTTCATCATCGAGTGTTTTGTCGCCATGGACACAGTTGCTGGTTTCATTCTAAGCCCGCCCCTTATAGGAGTCCAAGTTAATAAGCTGACCTGGCAGAAAACAAAAATATTTTTCAGAAACTAAAAAAGTTCTTATAACAATAAGACTCTAGCAAAAATATTCTAATGATAATTTCTGTCATAATTCGAAAAACATGATTTTTCGGCTCTTCTGGCTTGATATTTGGATTTCAACTGCAGGATGGGATGAAATCCTAAAATGAAACTTGGCTACTGCAAATTGACATTTCTCATAAGTTCACAGTCTTGGTGCTTAATAAGTTTCAATCTGGGAATATTACAGTTTCCTGAAAATGTGGCGCAATTTTCAAAAGCTGAACCGCCGTTTTCTGACTTTTTAGACAGTTGATGAGCTTTTGGACAATAACAAAAAAAGAGTTTAATCAGAAGCCAAAAACACTGCGAGACTAGAAAAGCGGTTGTCTTTTCTCAGCAGTTGTTTTTGCCCTTACTCCTCGCAGGAATCTGCTGAAATTCCTTAATGATATTAACAATTTCACGAAGCTAAATTGCAAAATAAAATGTTGACATCTTTTTCCTTGCTAAAATTCGCTATGGGGAGATTTTGCAGTGAGTGCCACAATTCAACGGATCGAATCAAAATTCGTGTTTGGGACGAAGACAATGATTTAAAGAGTAAATTGAGGCAAAAACTGACAAGAGAATCGGACGATTTCTTGGGTCAGGCAATCATTGAAGTGAGAACTTTGAGCGGCGAAATGGATGTATGGTACAACCTAGGTCTGCTTTGCTTTTAGTTTTAATGATAATCACCAGTAATGCCAGAAAAATTTTATTTTTGAAGGATAGTCCTCTGCCTTATTTTTTTGGCCTGAAATCGTCTCATTATCGGAAATGTGCTGTGTTGGGCAAATTCAATAAACCTGATGATATGTATTTCCTTAACAGGATGCGCCAATATTTCACATGAAACCTTTAGTACCATTAAAATGCATATGTATTCCTGCTGTAACTAGTTTGCTACTTGCTGTGCAAAGCTACTTTCCACAAATTCATAAAGCTCCCTTGGCATTTGCTGATCGCGACTTGAGTAGTTTAGATCAGGCGTAACAGAATGGAATGCGAACCGGCGACTTCTGCTTTTTTTGAGGCGATAAGCCTTGTCGTGCTTGAAACTGTCTGAAGATTGCGGTGATTAGATACTCTGGTTATGGATACTTTGGCGATAGTTGTAATGAACTGTGCTTAAAATTTTAACTGGATTTTGAATCTATAGAGGAATGACAAGGCAATTATGATGAATCTGAGTGTTTTTTTTT